TATATATATATATTATATATTATTATTTCTGCATTTGTAACCCATCATTACTAATACTGACCTAAAGCTCTTGATGGTTTGGTCCGCATTCCAAGTTTTATTTACAGAAAAATAAAAGAAGGAAAACACCAATAAAAACCTGAACAGATTCAATATGGTCCACACGGAAAAGCTGCTGTGCTGCCTCTGCAGCCTTCAGCCCCTAATATTGTACTACGGCTGTTGCATGTGTGTGTGTGTGTGTGTGCGTGCGTGCATGCGAGTGTGTGTGTGTGTGTGTGTGTGTGTTGGAGAAGTGATGAGAGCGCCACATCAGGCAGCTCAAGCTGCTAATTATAGTAATTATGATTCATTACGAGCTCAGATTAATTTAATAAAGAGGAGTCTGAGCAGAGCTCGTTAACCTTCATTAGAATAATTGTCCACACACACACAGTCTCTGTTGGGGGGTGTGGGGGTGAGGCTCAGCTCAGGGTGTTTCTGTAGCGCCTGCCGGGACAGTCCTCTGTCTGTGTGTGTGTGTGTGCATGCGTGCGTGTGTGTGTGTGTGTGTGTGTGTGTGTGTGTGTGTGTGCGTGCGTGCGTGCGTGTGTGTGTGTGTGTGTGTGTGTGTGTGTGTGTGTGTGTGTGTATGAGACTGAAGGCAGCAGAGTTTTTATTAGGACAGAGATATGAATTATTTTTATTTCTGTTCCATTCACTCAGAATGATCAGTTTTATTTTTCACCTGAACTGTTTGTTTTTCTGTATTTCACAGATTTTATGAAACTGAGAGCTGTTCAAGCAAAAACACTGAGACCAGATTCTGTTGGTCATCTTCTAATATCATGTGGTGGTGGCAGGGTGTTGCACCATGCTGAAGTCTCACGACCCCCCCCCCCCCCCACACACACACACAATGCCCCATCAGACATATATTTATCATCTGCTCACTTCCATAGTGATCATTTGTATTAAGTGGTGTTTCATATTATTCTGTATATGAATGTTTTATAATAACAAGAACTGAATTCACTCTCATTGGGTTTAAGATGGATACACACACACACACACACACACACACACACACACATATATATATATATATATATATATATATATACATTTTATTGTCATTCAAAATTGTACAGGGCACGATGCAAAACTGAATGAAATTTCATTTAATTTCTCCACAGCAGTGGATAATTTAGTATACTTTAATATACTGTAAAATATATTGAAATGAACTGAATAGAAAAGTTGTGTGTATTTACAAAGTTCACATAAATCAGGGGTGACAAACTCAGTTACCAAAAGGCCAAAATTAAAGACTTGCTCAAAGTCATGGGGCAGTTACCCACATGTGTTCCTGGTCGCAGGTTCATCAACCAAAGCTTGACCGGTCTCATAACATGTCCTGTTCCCACATCAACAATAAAGATAAAAAACAGAAAATCCCATCTTTTTTCTGGCTTCGATGTCAACCAACTGTCATGAGAAGACTGCAATAAAATATATTTGGGGGGTGGGGGGGTCAAAATGAGAAACAACAAAATATTTTACATTTAAAGTTTCATCTTGAGGGACCAGATAAGACGTTATCAAGGGCCAGATTTGAGACATTCAGAGTGAAAAATGTGACATAAATGATGCTCTCGTAAAGTGTAGGACAGGTATAAAATGTGCTGCAAACACTCACACATAACATTAACACTTATAATAAATATACTAATCCAGACAAATCTCAGATTAAAGGTGAAGTTTATCAAGATAAACTGAGTATAAATAATAAAGCTCTCTGTTTACCAGTCAGTCTATATTCCTCACCTACGCTCACAAAGCCTGGATAGTGAGCAAAAGAACGAGACTGTAGATACAGGCAGTTGAAATGAGTTTCCTCTGCAGAGTAGCTGGACTCTCGCAGACCTGGGCGTTGTACGGCCCCAGGGCCACATGCGGCCCTTTGGTTGACTCTGACCGGCCCCCGTAAGGGGAATTACAAAATACATATGTAAACAAATGAAGTTAACCAAATCCAGATATAGATCCTCTCTCACTGATGATGTCAGCTTTGCTTCACATCTCCACCTCAGACCTTCAACCTGACTTTAACATTTCCGTTAAAGCCCAACAGAGACTAGACTTCTCTCACTAAACAAGAAAAAAGAACTGAAAAACACCAAATGGGATGTTTAGACTACAAATGTAGGCACGTAAAGAACCGGGACTCGAAATCACAGTTCAGTGACGATCACTATTATATGATGTTTCATAATATTTGGAGTACAAAGACAATATTGTGATATATTTACAAAGCTAAGAACTTTTTCCAGCAGTATATAAAACTCAAAATGAGTTTTGGGGTGAATGTGACTGAAAATGATCACTAATATAACGTCACAAATGGTAAAAATGTTAACAGTTTACCATTGTACTGGGAAATTTAATAAATGACATTTTTTGTAAGGAAACCTCGCTTTTTCGTTGCTTAATCGTAACAAATACTCTTACCAGCTTGTTAAAACAGTGCTATGTACTGCTTTTAATAATGAAATACTATTAATATTATGCAGTATTGAGTTAAGTTGAAATCAGGTCTCTCTTGTAAATGAGTTCTCGAGGCTCAATGGGATTTACCTGTAGAAATAAAGGTTGAATGAAAAAGTCATTTGTGCCAGCCCTCCACAATATTTGTTGTTTCTCATGTGGCCCCATGGAAAAAATAATTGCACACCCCTGCTCCATAGGGTGAGGAGTTCAGTTATCAGGACAAACTTGGAGGAACGCTGCTCCTCCGTATCGAGAGGCGCTAGTTCTGGTGCTTAGGGATCTTGCAAAGATGGGAGGAGACCCAGGAGCCAATCCAGGACATGCTGAAAAAACTGTCTCTCAGTTGGCCTGGGGACATCTTGGGGTCCTTCCAGAAGAGCTGGAAGAGGAAGCTGTGGAAAGAGATGTCTGGACCTCAAGATGCTGCCCCGACACGTGACTTCACAACAAGAGGAAGATGATGGATGGATGGATGGATGGATGGATGGATGGATGGATGGATGGATGATGGATGGATAGATGGATAGATGGATGGCTGATGGATGGATGGATGATGGATGGATGGATGATGGATGGATGGATGATGGATGGATGATGGATGGATAGATGGATGGATGA